CCCAGTGGGTTAGACTTACAGGGACAGTTCACTTTCACATGAGCTTGTTGCCTGCAGCCATAACACTGGTGTGTTAACAGCAGCTGCAAAACAATCTGTCTTAGGTTGCAATGCAAGATGTCACCAAAAGTATGCATTCTATTACCATCTGTTAAAGCCAGGTGGGGCAGGGTTCTTTATCTCTTGTATGACCCATCCTCCCTTGGGGAGATACCTTGTGTTAATGGCCATTGAGTGTCCCTGCATGGCTGATAAAATTCCATTATCCCATTGTTAGATGCTCCACCCAGGGGGAGGAGCCAAGCATTCCTGCCTGGATACAATCTGACATATGAAACACCACAGCCGCCTTTTCCCACTGTATTTCCAGAGGAAGAACAGACCCTTCTAGTTACCGCTGGACCTTCAGAGGAAAATTCACCCTTCTACAGGATCCCTGCTCCAGCAGAACCACACCTATCACTGCAGGAGGACTGCAGCCACCACTTAATTGGACTGCTACCAGCACCCTGACTCACAGGGTGTCAGATCGTATTCTGACTCTGTCAAGTGTTTTGGTTTTTTTTTACTACTGCATTTTATTTTAATATTCCTATTAAATTGTAGGGGTTTTTAAAATTTATACATACCAGTAAAGAACTGTTATTCCTATTCTCATATCTTTGCCTGAGAGCCCCTTAAATTCTAAAATGTAATAATTTGGAGGGGTGGAGTTTACATTTCCCATTCGAAGGGAGGCTTCTACCTTCATTAGCAGACACCTGTCTTTCAAACTGAGACAGAATCAGCTAACAAAGCAATACTATCTGATTCTGTCCCAACTTCAGCGCATGCATAAATTAGTTTATTTCAGGATGGATTTTCTTTTGGTAACAAATCTATAGCCCTTTTGCAGTCCTCATTTGCATTATCCCATGCCACTTTTCAATTACTGATTTCTTGCATCATTATTTATTATTTGCTTTTCCATGGCATCTCGTGTCCTCTCTATGAATTGCATGTATGGTTCTGTGGGGCCCTGTTTGATCATGGAATACCTCTGAGTCGGTATGAGCCCCATAAGCTGAGAAACCCTAGCTCCAAAGCGTGGATCTTGCTGTGGTACCTCTAAATTGTGCTTGCTTTTGATCCTGTGTGTATCACTGCCAGGTGAACTCGAACATCATACATTGAACTGGGGTACCAAGCAGCTTTGCTGTCTGTTTGATATCAGAAGGTGCCGTCTCATTGGCAGTGAGAAACAGTAACATCCTTGCTACTGCCAGAGACCACAGTGCAGTTTTGGCGGCTGGCTGCTGCAGTTCAGAGAGGACCTGCCATTTGAGGGAAACATACTTGTAGGGTGTGGTCCGGTCGCGTCTCAGCACCGGGAAAGCTCCAGTCATCCCACCCATAGGCTTTGAGCCACCTGATGACAGTGGAGGCATGGACACAGAGATCTTTTGAGATCCCCATCGGCAATGGCAATCAGCTTTGCCTGCCTCCAGAAGCTGACCAGATTGTAGGTAGAGATGGTGACTGATGGTAGTGCGATGAAAGCGTCCTCTTGCGGGTTGGCAAGAGTGTGACAGCTTAGGTTCCCCCTGTTAGGATGTTGTGAGTTTAATAATGAAGAGCGTTCCTTGGGCTTCCCAAGCCCTGGCTGTGCATGCAGCAGGGTACCATGTCCTGCAGTCCCGGGCACTGGCAACCTCCCTTGCAGCACTGGGCACTGCTTGACCTCTGGGCTCTGCTCATGCCGTTGGTGGTGTGCCAAGCGGTGGCTGAGCTGCCCACTCAGCTGCAGGCAGGGCTGAGCCTGTTAACAGCAATGCAGAGCACAGCGATGGCTCCGGTGGCCACAACACGGGCAGGCTCAGGTGCTGCACAAACGCCTGCATTGCTGGCGGGGGTACAGTGGACAGGGGGCTCTGGTAATGGCTGCTCCCCTGTTGGTTTCTTGCCCATCGTCTCTGCCCGCACGCCTCAGGTGGCATTCACTCCTGCCCTGGATTCCCCCAGCCCTCCATGCTTACGGGACGATCCAGTGGGTGTGCCCACAGCGCCTCAGCTGTGGCTTTTGCCCTCCGTTTGGCTTTTATCTGTTTTAAAGTGTCCAGTACCAAACGCCAGGTCATTTAAAAGTCTTTAGTTGTTTTGTCGCCTCATGAGGCTGAGTCAAATGTCAGATTACCAGCCTGCTCCCTTGTTTGTACATTAAAAGCAGCTTCCGTGCTTGTGCCCAGTCCATGCCTCTTACATCATGACAGCAAGGCTTGTAGAGGCTGTTCACAATATTTTATCCTGGTTTGCATGAAAAGAGGGTCCATACCTGTAAAACAGCCTTTTTCTCCAATGAGACTTGAGTCCCCATTTTCCCAGTGGACACTTCTTGTATTTGCAATGGTCTGGACTCTCTGTAGCTCTACTCACTCCTGCAGCTCACCCGGCTGCCTCTCCGCTAGGCTCCATCTCCCCGCTCCCTGCGGGGCAAGCTGCTGCCCATCACGTTGGGCATCACCACCTCTTACAGTCAAGGTGGACGCACGACACGACACTCAAGGTTCACTTGGCAACAGCAAATTTTTGTTGCACGCAGATCCCTTTTGTAAGAGACGGTCCAAAGTTTCCCTCATTTGCTTCACGACCGTCGCAAGGACAGAGACTAAGATCCTGAAGATCCCGACTGGAGTTCTGGCCTGGTTGAGGTGGAAGCTCGCCAAGTGATTGTTCACAGGCGTGCTTGCTGTGCTGTCACGGTACACTGCTTCGAGCAGGGACTGGTACACAGTGGCTTCTTCTGTATGCTTACACCTGCTTCATGGAGCAGCAGGTCCCATCACAATAGCCCATGAATTTCCACACCTCTTGGCCATACGTCACTCGCTTTAGGCAAAGATTATAAATAAGTAACTTTCTGAGGTAACTTTGGTGATCTCCCATGGAATGAAGACTAATCTGTTGGCTGGACCACGAGGACTTCATCTCTCCATTGGTAGCTATACCCCCTTTTCTCCTCCTTTACTTTGTTTTCTTTATATCTCTCTTCTCTGTCGCGTAATTGTTGTTGGCACTCAGTAAAAGTGCACTGCCGTCATTAAACTGAAAGTCCCCTGTAGCTATGATATTTTATGAAAAATCCTTTGCTAGGGTTGGTAGCTATACCCCCTTTTCTCTCCCTCTCCTTTACTTTGTTTTCTTTATATCTCTCTTCTCTGTCGCGTAATTGTTGTTGGCACTCAGTAAAAGTGCACTGCCGTCATTAAACTGAAAGTCCCCTGTAGCTATGATATTTTATGAAAAATCCTTTGCTAGGATTTTTCCCTCTTGAGGAGATGAGGGCCTCAGGAAAGAAATGTAAACAATAACTATCTGCTGCTGTGGAATGCAACAGGTGCATCTGTGATTAGTGCATGTTAGTTGTTTCTAATTAAGAGCCAATCACAGATGCAGCTGCATCAGACTCTGAGAGTCACAAGATTTTGTTATTCATTCTGTTCTTTTTCTTTCTAACCTTCTGATCCATCTTTTTTCTCTATTATTTTACTATAGTTTTAATGTATTATTTTAATATAATATATATCATAATATAATAAACCAACCTTCTGAAAATGGAGCCAAGCCTCGCGTCTCCACACATGAGGTGTTTCCAGCAGTCCCCTGCCGTGTGTGTTTTGCACTCTGAGATTGGTAAAACAAACCATCAGGACCCCTGCTTCTACTAGCGGATCATGACGCCTCTATATAGTTTCAAAAATCCTGCATGGTTGGTCCTGATTGGCTGAATTTAGTTACCAGCCGGCTTTCTGGCCAATGGCTGGCTGCATCCCTAACGGCCAAGACTGGTTTCCCAACGGCCTGGACTGGTCAAGGTATAGTTAGGGTTATCTAATAACTGTGAGGCCTCCAGGCCTGCTGTCAGCCACCACACCCTCACCTCATGTGGTGGCTTGTGACCCTCTGTCACCCTGTGCCATCACAGGCTGCTGGCTGTGGGGACTTGATTTGCTCATGGCTCATTCTCTGTCTTTTCCAGGAAGGCCAGCTCACCTCTCCTGTGGGGATACCGGCACCAACGTGTAAATGGCCTCCAAACGGCGCTCGCAGGCTGCAGGGCCCGTGATTTTCAAGAAGCTGCCTCGTCTGGAGCCCGCCCCCAGCTTCCTGCCAAGCAAAATCCCAGGCACATCCAGCCCCGTGGCCCAGCCTGCCTCTGAAAACCATTTCAGCTACAAGGGCTCCTACTTTGCCTGCCCGCTGCAGAGCCCCAAGGGCCCCGAGCAGCCCCCGGCCGGCTGGAGCCCCACGCCCACCTACCTGCACCACGGCCCCGCTGCCCTGGGCCAGCCTGTGCCGGCCGAGGGGCCACTGCTGGGCTTCCTGCTGTACCCCCCAGAGAGCCTGGGCACCAGGCTGCAGCCCCCGGACACCCAGAGGAGCAAGGACAGCCTGAGCCAGGAGCAGCTTATGGCCAGAAAGAAGCTGGACAGTCCCAGGTGCCCCTTGCCAGTGAAGAAGCCAGTAGTGGTGAAGAAGGCAGCTCCTCTAGCAATCCCCAAGCCGGTGTACGGAGCCCCTGCCTCCTTCCTGGCTCCCAGGATGACTCTGCTACTGGGAACACAAGCAGAGAGCCTGCAGCAGCGACCTGGGGAGGCAAACTGGGCCCTGCCCCCTGCTGCCCACCCTCTGCACCCCAGCGAGCCCCACAGGAGTGGTACTGGTGCTGACCAGAGCCTCCTGCCGCTGCCCTCCAGCCTGGCCCTGCCTTCCAGGGAGCAGCTGAGTTCCCCAGCCACCTTACCCCACTACTGTGTCACATTTGATAAGTATGGGCCACCCCCCAGCTCCCCGTTCCTGGAAGCAAGTTGTCCCTCTGCCCACAGCCAGAAGAAGGTGCCGGAGGTCCCCAGCCTCAGCCTGGAGCCCTGGCCCAAGCTCCAGCCACCTGATGCCAGCCCAGTGATCCAGGAGAGGTCAGCAGTGTGCTTCCCACCCTCTCCATACCCGCTGTCACCCCACAGACTACTCCATCCAGCAGCAGCTGGGTAGGTAGCCTGGAGTCTCCTGGGGATGGGTCCCTGGAGCTCTGCCAGGGCTGTTGCAGCTGCAGCTGCCCTCCAGGTGCTGCTGCTCTTGGGGAGCATCCAGAGATGCCTCAGCATCCCTGTCCTACCGAGGGTTCTGTCCAGCTTTTCCTCTGTGGGCTGTGGAGGGGGAAAGTTTGAGGTGGAAGGGAGAAAACTCATCCTGGGGGTATCAAGGAGGTTTCAGTCAGTTCCAGGCCACCTCTGCCCATCCAAGGGCGCAGTGTCAGACCTGCCACCCATGGCTCTCCCATGCAGCTCGTGACTTCACTGTTGTGTCCAGATAACCTTTTGTTGCTCAAGGCCATTAACAGCAACTTTATTTCTTCCAGGTTCAAGCTCAGAGACTGGCCAGCAGCCTTCCAAGTAAGTAACTCCTCTTCCACATGGGTTTATAGGAACTTATGACATTTGTTTGTCATTTTGTGGAGGTGTATGTGTGTGGATTTCATGTGATAATGAGCATCTGGGGATGACTGGGGAGGCTCCACTCCCTGGGCCAGGCTGGAGTGGGGAATATTTGGGATTTAGAGCTTGCTCTCCCTAACCACTCCTTCCTCTCCCAGGTAGCCCTGACATGGAGGCACTGAAAGCTGATGGCAAAGCAACAGCCACAAGATCAAGGGAAAGGAGGCACTGAGGAATGTGCCAAGGGAAAGGGAAGGTCCCGAGTCCTCAGAGCTGTGGATGCCAACACCACCAGCAGCCCTGCAGGCACGTGCTCAGTTCCCACCACCATCAGGATCCTCCAGGATGCTGATACCTTGGCAGGGACCCTCTGGGGATGCTGGAGAACAGCTCAGGGGTGCTCCAGGGATGCACACAGTGATGCTGCTGCTGGGTTATCTGGGCCCGCGGGCATGGGCTCGAGCCCTTCACAGCAGCTGGAGCTGCTTTTCTTTGGATGGATCATCTTTCAGCATATCTCCTGCTGAAATCCGTGATTGCCCTGGTGAGCTGAGAGACAATGGCTGGAGTTCCAGTGGAGCTGGAGGAAGAGGAGCATGGAAATGGCCACAGCACCGTTCCCAGCCTTGGAAAAATGAACTGCAGGGATGACATCCCACCACCTCCTCTGAATTCCCCCTCCTGCTTTGTCCATGACTTTCCCAATAAACATCTCCTTCCTCTGGGATTTTGACCTTTAAAGTGCCATAAAGGCCTGGCACAACAGCAAGGGCAAGGGAATCGTGACTTCCATAGTCCCAGGACTAAGTTGGTTTTCTCTTAAATTAAGACATTTTACAAATGTTCTGGATTAACCTTTATAAGGAGTTGCTGCCTTCAGGTCATGTGTTTTGGGTTGTTTTTTTTCTTTAAATGTAGTAATTTATATGAGTCTTTCTATTTAAACTAAAAGGCTGCAAGAAAGATTTGAAGACTCTTAAAGAAACGAAAACCAGATCACTTCACGTGCTAGATCCTGACCCAAAGGAGAATGTGGGAGATGCACATTTAGGGACCACCTTGGTGCCCCTGAAGGGGCAGAGAGGGCAATGATGCTGCCAGACCTTGGAAGGAGGGATCCTTTCATCACAAAGGGTTATGGGCATGCCAGGAGGGATGTGGGCATGCCAGGACTAATGGACAGCCCCTCACCCAGGGGTGCAGCAGGGTACACAGCAGAGGCCTTAAAAACTCATCGCTCAGGTGTTCTTCAAGCTGCTGCAGGGCACAGAGGAACAAAACAAGGGTTATTCAATTTTTTATTTCACTACAGGGAATATTTATTAAACTAAAAAGATGGGGTTGGGTGGAAATGACCCTACCCACACTGTACTTATTTTAGCCAAAAGGTGTGTTTGCTACTGGGGGATTTCTGTGGGTGCCTTCCTGGTTTTCTTCTTCCTGGGGGATGGGGTGGCTGTGGATGGGACAGGTAAGGGGGATGCTGCTGTTCTCCTCACTCCCCCCCACCACTCCATGCCTGTGCACAGTGATTTGGAAAGCAGTGTTTGTTAATAATGTTGTTTTTGTACATATATAAGGTTCCAGGGAAGAACGCTCCTTCCCTTTATTTAATTTTTTGATAAGAATATGAAGAGTTGCCTCACCTGGTTTAAGTGAGTTTAACTTCTTTCCAGACATGCCTTGCCTCTGTCCCTGCTTCCCAGCATGGGCACAAGGGGACCTTCCTGGGCTTGGAGGGATTCCAGATCCCCCACCCATGCACTGCCCTCTTCTCCCTGCAACAAGACACAAGTGCTGAGCCCAGGCTCTGTCCCATCACTGCAGGCTGGATCCAGCATCCAGGATGCCCTCAGAGGAGCACATCCCAGCCTGCACAAACCCCACGGGTGACAGCCTGGGAGGAGGGTGCTGCTGCATGTCTGAGCACCAGAAACTGGGCAGGAGAGTCTGGGTGCTCAGGGGTGCAGCCTGGGCTGAGCCAGGGGACACCCCTGAGACCCTTCCCCTTGGGAGCCTCCATCAGGCACAGAATCTGCCTGACCCCAAAGGCCAAGGGCTGCAATCCACCTTTGTCAGCCCCACTTGTGGAGCCCAGCAGGTGAACACTGCCACAGCCTCACAGCCAGGGAGCTTTGGGGAGCACTAGCAGGGTTTGGGGATCATCCTGCCTGCAGGGACAGACCCACCCCCCCTGCTGCTGCTGCCAAGGGCTCCATGAGGAGCAGAAGGAAGCTGAAACCCCTCCAGCTTCAGCTGGGGGAGGGCAGATGAGTTTGTGTGTTAATTGGGAGCAGCTGGAGCAGAGGCACAGCCTCCCCTGGGTGCCCAGATAAAAGGCAGGCCTTGGCTGGCCCTGGCTGCTCTCTGCTCCTGGGAGCTGCAGGTGAGGGGTGCTGCGGGCCTGGCCCTGCCTGGGGAGGGCTCTGGGGCCGCGGTGGGTGTTTGGGGCAGGCAGGGAGTGAGGTCATGTCTGAGCCCAGGGCTGCTCACAAGCCTGTGCTGCCCCGGGAGCTTCCCAGGAGGTGCCGAGGCTTGGCACAGGCTTTCCTGAGCTGGGGGCTGCTGGGGAGCAGGGAGGGATTTAATGAGGTGCTCGGGAATGGGCCGGGCACTGGGGTGTGGGAGCTGCAGGGACCCCCCTAACTCTGTGCTGTCCCTCTCCACAGCTGAGCTGTCCCCGTGCCTGTCCCCAGAGGAGCCGAGGGCGGCCCCGCCGAGCCCCGGGCGCCGCTGCTGCCCTGCGGGCAGGAACGATGCTCCGTGCCGGGAGGGAAGGGGCTGCGGGCACAGCCCCGGCTCCTGCCCGCCGGCCGTGCTGCAGCGCCCTCCTGCTGCTGGCCGTGTGCGCGAGTGCCACCGCTGTGCCCTGCGGCCGGGCCGCTCTGCCCGCTGTGCCCTGCGCTGCCCCGGGCTCCTCAGCCTCCCGGCGAGGCCCGGCTGACACTCTGGGGACACGGACTGCGGCCACAGGGACATCTCGGACCTCCCTGCAGCAGCAGCCTGGCTGTGGGGACAGGGAAGGGCTCAGGCTGGGCACAGCAGGGGCTGTCACGCTGTGCCCTGCACGGTGGCCTGGCAAAAGGGTGCCTGCTGCCTCAGCTGGGCTCTCCCAGCCCGAGGGTGTCCCCAGCCCTGGCTCCTGGTGTTCCCTTGCTCGGAGAGGCCTCCACAGAGCAGCCCCAGGCTCCCGTGGTGGCACCCTGATGGCAGCAGTGGCTGCAGCTGGTGGCCTGGGGCAGCCAGTGGGCACAGCAGAGCCCCCGAGCCCAGAGAGGGGCTCTGAGGCCACCTCCAGAGCTGGCAGTGAGCCCGCTGCTGGGCTCCCTGCCACCTCCCAGCTGTGGCTGCACCCTCCTGCCCTCCCCATGGCTGCTGCTGGCCCCTCTGCAGGGGCTGCAGTGGCACAGGTGGCACCCAACCAGCCGGTGCCACTGCCAGGGGTGGCCGTGGGGTCTCGGCTCCCACCCGGTGTCCCTGCATGGGCCCCGATGGGTGCTGGCTCCTGGAGCCCCAGCACAGCAGAGCAGGTGGTGGCCTCTGCTGTGCCAGCACAAGGGACACCCAGCAGGGCCCAGCTGAGCCCTGGCATGGTGGGGGTGCCCCCTGCCCTGGCACCAGAGGGGCTCGGGGGCACTGCTGGCACTGCCCTGCCGGGGGCAGCTGCTCCCTTGGGGGATGCTGTGTTGGCCCAGCTTCCAGGCAATGGCTCTGGACTCCTGGATGCCCTCCTGGCATCACTTCCTGCCACTGCTGCAGCTCCTGGTGCCCACAGTCAGCACCTGCTGGCTTCTTCCCTGCCCACGGTGACATCGGGGGCTCCTGCTGTCACCTTGGGGACACAGAGTGAGTGGCCTTTTGGCCCTGCACAGCCCGTGCCCACTGGAGCCTCCCCAGTGCAGCCCAGGGCTCCCAGCCCTGCAGGTCCCAGCGTGCCTGGGCTGAGCCCCACAGCCCCTGGTGTCACCCCAGAGCTGGGACAGACGTTTGTGACGGAAGGGTCCAGGCACAGCCAGCCCAGGCCAGCATCAGTGGGAGCTGTTTCCTCTCCAGCAGCACCCCCAGGGCCCAGCCCTGCCAGCCCAGGCTCTGTGCCTCCCCCCTGCTCCCCAGAGCCAGCTCTGCAGCGTGGCTCTGAGCCTGGGCACCGCATTGCCCCCAGCAGCAGCGTGCCATCTCCATCCTGCCTGCCCGCCTCTCCTGCAGCTGGGCACGCAGCCAGCTCCCTGCTCAGCTCCCCGAGCCTGCCTGTGCCCACAGCAGGGCCCCTCCATGCCCTGGCTGTGTCCCGTGGCTCCAGCCCTTCCCAGCACTCCTGCACAGCCACGGAGCAGCTCCCTGCAGCCTCCAGAGTGGCCTCCAGCCCAGCTGAGCAGATGCCAAGGGGCAGACCTGGCTCCACAGGGATGGAATGCCCTGCGTGCCACCCCTGCAGCCTCCCCTTGCCCACCCAGCCTGTGCACGTGCTGCCCTTGCAATTCCGCCTGCTGGGCATGGCTTTCTGCCCGGCTCTGGGCAGCAGGGATTCAGAGAGCTACCGGCAGCTGGAGAGAGATGTGACACTGCTGGTAGGTGCTGCAGGTGCCTGGGGCACTTTGGGCACTTTGGGCTGTGGGGTGGTGCCTGCCCTGCTGGGGGAGAAGCCTGAGAGCTGCTTCAGCCCCTGGCTGGCTGGTTGCCCACCTGAGCACGCTGGAGGTGGCTCAAGCCCTGGCACTGCTCCCCTGGAGCTTGGCCTGAGGGGGGACTGGGCTGCCCTCACCTCTGGCTGCAGCAGGGCCCTGGCACATGGAGTCATTGCTGGGGTGTTTCCTCCCAGGAATGGGGGTGGCTGCTCTGCTATCCCAGCTCATCCCCAGGCATTCCCAGAGGGCTGGCACTCCCTGGCTGCCAGCGTGCCCTCCCCTGACCAGGCTGAGCTGCCTTCCCTCTCTTTATTGCCCACCTGCTCCTGCCTTTCCCCTTCACATGGGGGAGCTTGGAGAACCTTCTCAATTAATTACGGGGTGCTTCTTCCTTGCAGCTCAACCAGATGCTGTCCAGCTACAAGAGCTTCCTGCAGGCCAATGTCCTTGAGTTCCTGTGAGTGTGCAGCTGCTGTGCAGGGCTGGGTTTGTAGGAGCAGAGCCTGGGGGAGCCACCCTGGCCCTAATGAGAGTCCTGAGTAGAAGAGTAGGAATTTGTTACACTGAGCTTTGATAGAGACTGTCTGTTCTCTTGGGAAAGGTGCATTCCAGAGGAATGGCTGCAGCCACAAACCCCACGTGGGAATGTTTTTCCTTTGCCTCCCTGAAGGCTGGGAGGTGGATGTTAGAGTGAAGGCTGATAGGGGCAGCAATGTTGTCTGCTTTAAAGAATGTTTGGTGGTGTAGGCTGTTCTGGGTTTCCTCTTACATGTTGCTGAGACTTTCTTCAACCTTTCCCATACTAGAAACATAAATACTGGAGTGTGTGCAATAAAGATTGATCCTGTTGGAAGAGGCAGTGGCCTGGTTTTTATCAAGCTGCTGCAGGTTTGGCTTGGAGGGAAGGATTTGCCCAGGAAAATGCTCCAGACAGGTCATTGTGAGGGGCTCTGCTCCCTCCCTGGTGTCATCATTCCCGGGATCCCTGTCTGAATTCCTGGATAAATGCACCTGGAACAAATGAGAAAGCAGTCGGTGTGCTGCTCACTGTGTCCTGTCCCTCCAGGAATGGCTCCGTGGTGGTGCGAGGGGAGGTTCTGTTCCGGGGGGATGCTCCTGCTCCCACCAACTCCCACCTCATCCGCACCGTGGTCACAGAGGCCAGCAAGGGAAGGAGCATGTTCAGCTGGCAGCTGGAGCCCCAGTCTGTCCTGTCTGGTGGTGAGTCCTGCACATCTTCCCACAGCAGGGTGGCTGCTGCTGCCCAGTGCCCTCCTGGTGCCTCTCTCCAAGCCAAAGCCCGGCTGCCTGGGTTCCAGGCTTTTCCTGCACTGAGCATCCCTTCTCCTGGCCTGTGTCAAGCAGTGTAAGGGTGTGCAGGGTGGTGGAGGGCACATCTGTAGCAGCTGGAGCTGTGTGGGCCAGGGCTTCTGCTGGGCTCCCTGGCCTCCCCTCTTTGCCCCAGCTCTCCTGTACATCCCAACCCTTCCCACATTCTGAGGGATTGCTCCTCACTCGCTGTCCTGCTGCTTTCTGCTTTGGGCTGTGGCCATGGATGGGCTCTGGGCTGAACACTGTCTGCCAAGGAAGCTGGAGGAGCAGGTGTGAGCAGAACTGTCCCCATCTCCCTCAGGCTTCAGCCTGGAGAACCTGGAGCCCGAGAAGCTGTCCATCTCCCTCGCTGGCCCCCAGCTTGGCATGGGCAGGATGGATCCTCTGGAGAGGCTGGCCGGGGAGGTATGCCAAGCCCTGGGGGCTCTGCTGAAGGCTGATGCTGGGAGAATGGGCACAGGCTGCCAGGAGGCTGGAATAGCCTGGGTAAACAGGGGAAGGTGTGAACTGTTGTCTTCTCCCTGCCCAGGTGACTGCAGCTGTCAGTGCCCTCTACGACGTGAGGAACTTCACCATCTCCCAGCTCAGGTATGGGATGCAGCTGCTCCTCTGTGGAAACCCAGGACACTGGGAATATTTCTCTGCCTCCTCTGGGCTCCCCGGTCCCTCATTCATGGAGAAAGTTTGCTAGACCTCAAGCTAGACTGGAATCCACATTAGTGTGAAACAGATTATAGAGCGTAGTGTAGGTGTTTCACTTGGTGAGAAATTGAGGTTTGGGGATTTTTAGTTTGTTGTGGATGGAAGCAAGATGGAGGGCACAGGGTGCTGTCCTGGCTTTCTTCTTCATGCGGCTTCTCTCTTCTTCATGGGTTTGGGTGGCATTTTGTAATTAGGCAGAAAAGTCCACATTGGAGCTCTTTGGGTTCAGTTATTGGGTTAAAAGAGAAAATAATCTGTTTGTTCTTAATTTTATAGTTTAGTCTTAAAAGACCTTGTAACAAGAGGCTGTGAGCCATTTTGTGCCTTCTAATGAAAAGCTGAGATAAGGTATACTGATTTACTGATAAGAAATAATAAACACTTGAGTCTGAACATGAACTACTGCCCCAAGTGCCTTCAATGCAGACCCAGAGAAACTGAGAACCAGGCACTCCTCTACCAGCCTCTTCATTTCATTGCCTTCACTGTCTCTGGTGCCCTAATCAGCTGTGAGCGAGGATGGAGAGGATGGGAAGAGCTGGGAGGGGATGTGCAGCTGGAGCCAACTGTAACTGAGCCCATTCTCTGAGCTCTCAGGAGAAAACCAGCAGTGAAGGTGCTGGAGCTGGGTGCCAAGAGAGAAACTGACAGCTGGTACCCAGGCACTCCTCTGCCAGCCTCTTCATTTCATTGCCTTCACTGTCTCTGGTGCCCTAATCAGCTGTGAGCGAGGATGGAGAGGATGGGAAGAGCTGGGAGGGGATGTGCAGCTGCAGCAAACTGTAACTGAGCCCCTTCTCTGAGCTCTCAGGAGAAAACCAGCAGTGAAGGTGCTGGAGCTGGGTGCCAACCCTCCTGCCTTGCTCAGAGCTCTTCTCTCCCCTCAGGAACCTGGGTGAGAACACGGAGGTCACTGGAGACCTCTACCTGGACACAGTTGTCCATGCTGACCTGATGGAGGTTCTGGAAGCCCTGGCTGCGCTCTCTGGCCTCTCCATGGGCCTGAGCTCCCTTTCGGTGGAGGGTGAGGACGGTGCCCGTGTGTGCTGTGGGCAGGGTGGCTGCCCAACCTGCACAGCCAGCGCTTGTTTGCTGCTCCTGCAGGCTCCAGGCTGGCTCTGCACGTGTACCCTCTGTCCCTGCTGGTCACCAACAGACACTTCAGGCAGGAGCTTCAGGACCCGCTCTCTGCAGAGCACCACGAGCTCTCCAGGGACCTCGGCGATGCGGTAGCCATGGGGCTGGTGGGAAGGGGGATTGAGCTCCTCCCAGCAGGGTGAGCAGAAGAGGAGCCTTGGGAGGAAGAGAGGCTGCTTTGGGGTGAGCAAACAGCCCCAAAAGCTGGCAGCGAGCTGAGCACAGCCTTTCTTCCAGGTGGTGGGAGCCCTGAGGGATTATCCATCCTTCCTGACAGCGATCATAAAAGAATTCCTGTGAGTGGGAGCAGGGGTTCTGCTGGGCAGGGGTGTGCAGGGGCAGGGAGGTCTCCCTTCAGGCAGCAGCCAGCAGGTTGTGGCTGCAAGCAGCATGTTTTTGGCTGCAGGAGGATCTGCAGAGGAAGCTGAGGTCAAGCATTAAGCCATTGCAGCAGTGGTGGCTTGCTGCACCTCCAGGGATGTCCCTTCCATCCCAGGGCTCCCTGAGTGCAGAGAGCTCTTCCTGCTGAGCAAAAGCCTCTGGGAGGAGGCTGGGAGTGCCCACCCACCCCAGTGTGGGGTCCTGCTGGGACTGGCAGCTGCTGAGCTCTTCCCAACCCTGTCTGCAGGCCTGGCTCCTTGATCTGCCACGGGCAGCTGATCTTCCGTCCCCCTGCCCCACCCAGCGTGGAGGTTCTGAAGACACTGGTGCGCTCGGTTGGGCCAGACCAGGCTCTGGCTGGCTCTGACTTCCACGTGGATCCCCACTCTCTCTCGGTGGGAGGTAAGCTCCCCTCTGGCATGTGGGGACGGGAGCTCCACAGGCCCATGGCTGCCCTGTGAGCAGAGTGGATCCCCTGCTGACCCCATCCTGATCCCCTGTGTGCAGAGAGGCTCAGGAGCCTTGGCTGCTGAGGTGAGCAGGCAGTAAAGTTTCAGTAGCAGTTGTGCCCTTTGCCTCTGCATAGCCTGGGCCCTTGGGGCTGGAGAGCTGCTGCTGCAGGCTGGTGTAGGGTGGGAGGACAAGGCACGGGGGGAGTGGAGCAGCAGTTATTGAATGCCCTGTGTTTGTCCTGGAGCAGGGGGTGGCTGGCAGCCCGTGGGGCAGCGCTGGCTGCTCCAGGCTCTCCCTGCTGTGCTCTGCTCCAGAGGACACCCTGGAGCCTGCCACGCCCCAGCCGGGCTCCCCAGCCTCCGGAGTGTCCTTGGTGGCCATCGGGGGCCTCTGCATCGTGGTTGTGCCCGTCGTGCTCGTGGTGAGGGCCAGCTCTGCCTGCTGGGCTGGGCAGCAGCCCTGGGCCCTGTGCGGGCTGGGCTGAGGGGCTCTGTGGGGCCAGCTGGGGCTGCAGTGCCTGTGCTCTCCTCCCCAGTGCCTGGGCACCAAGAGGCTGGCTGGAAGAGCCCTTCGGGACAGAAGAGACCCTCAAGTGGGGATCCAGACATTGGAAATGGAGAACCAGGGCTTCTGGACAGAGGGGAGTGGCCTTTGCATCCCTTGCATTATCTCCTGGGCCTGCAGCTGCTGTTTCTGCAGCTCCCAGGCTCTCCTGTTGCCTGGTGCTGATCTCTGGGGCTGGAGAAACCTGAGGGCAGCTGGGGGGAAGGGACCCTCATTCATGCCTTCACTGGAGCTGTTTCAAGTGCCTTCTTCCCTCTCCCCTGCAGGACCCTGAGGATGGTCACTTGGAATGGCAAAACACTTCTGCCTGAGGAGAGCAGCAGCAGCAGCTGGGGGGAGCTTGGAGAGGGGCTGTAGGTGGGAAGGAGATGCTGAGAAGCTCTCCCTGACCCTGTGGCAGCACCTGCCAGCTGCTCCCTGAGCAGAATGCAGACTCGGGTGTGTAAGGGAATCATTTTGTGTCTTAAATAAACTGTTTGTAGAGCATGAAACCCAGTTGTGAAGGATGTGTGTCTGCTGTGGGCGTGGTGCTGACCCAACCTCCCTGCTGGGCTCCCGGTGCCAGCCCAGCCCTGTGCTGCTGCTGTGCCTGGTGCTGCCAGCTGGGCTGCTCCTCTCCAGCTCTGGGACAACAGCCCTAGTGCTGGGGAGTTAAAACAGCAAGGTGTGCATGCCAGCCCCACAGTCACTTTCCCAGCTCCCGGGTGCTTCCCCTTCCTGCAGGCTGGATTTTATTTCAGATCCTGCTCTGCAGTGTTTGTTCCAGCCCTGACCCCTCAGGCTCCATCTCAGCCCCAGCCCTACAGCCTTGTTTGCCAATTATTTTATTGGTTTGTAAAAGGTATTTTTCTTGTCCATCAAATCTCTCTATTCTTCAATTATTTCCATATCATCTTCACTGATTCCAATGGGATAGATCTATTGTTTATGCAGGTGCCATTTATTTCCCCCCAAAAAATAGATTGCTGTGATTACCCACACCAGTAGATTGTTGAATGCAGATTTATTCTTCAATTGTTTACATATCTTCTTCACTGATTCTGATGGGATAGATCTATTGTTTATGCAAGTGCCATTTATTTTTCCCCCCCAAAAATAGATTGCTGTGATTACCCACACCAGTAGATTGTTGAATGCAGATTCTCTTTCTCAAGGTGTTTTCACATGGGAACTGAGCTGGCTGCTGTGCTGCACTTAGAGGAAGTGACAGGCTAGCTGGTAATTCAAGGCCTGTTTTTATGAGGCCTTTCTTTCATGATTCTTTTACCTATCACAACAGGGTTGCAGTCAAAATGTCATCCATGTAGTGAGCACAGTCTGGCAATTGTTCTCTCCCTGCTGAGAGTAGCTGCACTTAGAGGAAGCGACAGGCTAGCTGGTAATTCAGCAGAGCAAGGCCTGGTTTTATGAGACCTTTCTTTCATGATTCTTTTACCTATCACAACAGGGTTGCAGTCAAAATGTCATCCATGTAGTGAGCATAGTCTGCCCTGGCAGTTGTTCTCTCCCTGCTGAGAGTGCCTGTGCCATGCACCCTTGGCAGACTGCAGGGCTGTTTGTCATGCCTCAGGGAAGAACTCGCCATTGGTAACAGGGCACTGGTGCTGTGTTATTCACAGAAGGCTCTGCAAAAGCCAGCTTTGGGGTGTTGTCGGGGTGCAATGGAATAGTGACAAAACAATGTTTGAGCTGCACAAACAGGCTGTCCCAGGAGGCAGGTATCCTTGTAGGAAAGGCACTCTAGGCTGGAGGGTGCCCATGCTCTCCATCACAGAGTTAATTTTTCACAGGTCATGGAGTAAGCTCCACTTGCCAGGTTTCTTATTTTATAACAAGTACTGGGGTCTTCATGTTTGAGCTCCACAAACAGGCTGTCCCAGGAGGCAGGGATACTTGTAGGAGAAGGCACTCTAGGTTGGAGGGTGCCCATGCTCTCCATCACAGAGTTAATTTTTCACAGGTCATGGAGTAAGCTCCACTTGCAGATTTCTTATTTTATAACAACTACAGGGGTGTTGCAAGGGCTCATGGATGGCTCTATGTGTCCTTGAACCAGTTGTTCTTGTACCGTTGTTTAAAGTCCAAGTTGTTGAGATGGTAATGCTGATGTTTGACATCCCTGAATGTCCTCCTGGGTCCTGGAACAGGAAATAGCTGGAGAAGGTTAGTCAGGTTTCTTATTTTATAACAAGTACTGGGGTCTTGCAAGGGCTCATGGATGGCTCTGTGTCCTTGAACCAGTTGTTCTTGTACCATTGTTTAAAGTCCAAGTTGTTGAGACTCAGGAGGAAGCTGAGGAGGTGGTAATGCTGATGTTTGACATCCCTGAATGTCCTCCTGGGTCCTGGAACAGGAAATAGCTGGAGAAGGTTAGTAGGGACACTGTACCATGATGGTGACATAAGGCAAAATTGCTTCTCTAAGTTTGCAGACACAGCTCTGTCCTGGCAGTTGAACTTCTGTTCCTGCTCTGGCCATGAAGGCTGCAGGGTGATTGGGTTCCTTCTCTTTCTGCTGGGCCTCATTTTCTCAGAGGCAGTTGGTGATTGATCGAACAAAGAGGTGACCAATTCTAACCTTGTGATGGTAAGACACAAGCATGTCCTCTCTTGAAGTCAATGAATCAATTAAGCTTTGCTGTTGCACACTCAATTGGGATCTAGATTTGAAGTTATTTTTTCCAAATTTCTTAGCTAAATATTGCAATATTAATAATGACTTGTTGTCTAAATTTCTAATGTACGTATTACATTATTTGGATGTCCTTAAAGCACTAAATCCCTCCCTTTTTTTTTCTTTTTTTTATGTTAATGAGAAGCTTGTCTTTGGTTCTGAGCATGAGGAAACATCAAGGCAAAACAATACATGTAGTGAAAATAAACAGAGAGCAATCAGGAATAAGCCATGTACACTTTTAAGAATATTTCAGATAGTACACATAATTAATAATCCATGTGAAATTGGGTAATTAGGAATCTCTGAAATTCTGCATCTAGCAGTATATAAATCAAAGCACCTAGTAGCTGTATCCCTCCAAAGTTTCCTTCAGGACAGAGATGCAAACTGCTGGAGTGTTTCTGTAATAATAACTGGGAAAAACCACAAGCCCAGCAGTTCAGAGGAGGCTTGCAATGCAGCTCAGATGTCTTTTCTTGGAACTCAGAAAAATACTGAAAATTATGAGACATCATTGGGTCAAACCACAGAGCCAGTGCATGTACTAGCCAGAGAGCTAACCTGATCTAAGAGATGCATAAAGAGCTAGAGAACAAGAAGGAAGGGTCCTGAAATAACACACGTCTTTTAGATAATTACACAAAGAGATGTTAAAGCATAGAAGAAGCTGGCTATAAATACTCTAATAACATCCTATGAATAATGCCTATCATAAGATCAGTAAATTCACATCATGTAATCAATATATCATTGGTAATGCTGTCTAGAAGTTGAGATAATACTTTTCTAAAGAGTCATTTACTTATGACAGCAAAATGAAATGAAGGAAAATGCTAAAACAGCTCAAAATCAATAACAGCCATAATGTGAAATCACAGGCTCTTACTCTGTTATCTGTGGAAAACAAAACAGCAGTTGTAACAAAGATCGTAACAAGCAATAGAATCCTTGACAAAATCAAGGGTGAACACACTGTATCTTCTTTATCCACAAACAGGTGTTTATCAGTGTTTCATCATAGCTGTTCTAGTCGGATTCCTGTTACCTCTTAAAATAAAAAAACTATGTATCTTACAGTGTCGAAAATACTTAACTGTCTCAGATTGCAATGCAAGATGTAACCAGGTGTATTCTGCCACCATCTGTTAAAACCTGGTGGGGCAGGGTTCTTTATATCTTCCAAGACCCATTCTCCCTGAAAGGGAGATATCTCCTGTTAATGGGCCATTGAGTGTCCCTGCATGGCTGATAAAATTACATCATCCCATTGTGAGATGCTCCGCCCAGGGGGAGGAGCCAAGCATTCCTGCCTGGATATAATCTGAGCCTTCCAACACCACAGCCACCTTTTCCACTGGACTCCCAGAGGAAGACCAGACCCTTCTACATTACCAGTGGACCTCCAGAGGAAAACTCCATCCTTCTGCAGGATCTGCTCACACAGAACAGCCCCTGTACCTGCAGGAGAAGTGCAGCCACCATTGATTCAGACTGCTGCCACCACCCTGACCCATAGGGTGTCAGGCTGTATTCTGTGTCTCCTTGAGCAGCAGATTTGGTGGGGGTTTTTTTTGTGGTTTTTTTTTTTTTTTTTTTAATCTAATTATTTCTAAACTCAGAAGAACCGCTCCAGCTAAAATTCAAAGTTATTTGTGGGGTTTTTTTTTTTGTTTTTTTTTTTTTTTTTTTTTTAATCTAATTATTTCTAAACTCAGAAGAACCGCTCCAGCTAAAATTCAAAGTGATAGGACTTAGATAAGAACTTTAACTCATTGCTGCAAATAATCTTGTCAGAAGAGGAGAGTCACAGGCTGGGCGCGGGGCAGAGTGGACAGCGTGCGTGGTCAAGATGGTGCTCACCAGTTTCTTGCCAGCTCCAACCCAGCTGTGCCAAGATCAGCTAGAAGCAGAAGAAAGAGCAGGAGCGCAGAGATGCAGGCAGACTGCTGTGGTCTCCTCACAAAGGGAACCTCCCCCATATGGTTACCGGAAAGGATGGATACCGCGGGCGCTGGAGGATTTTGGAGATGGGGGTGCCTTCCCAGAAATTCATGTGGCCCAATACCCATTGGATATGGGCCGAAAGAAGAAAATGTCCAATGCTTTGGCTCTTCAGGTGGATGCAGAAGGGAAAATAAAATACGATGCCATTGCTCGACAAGGACAGTCAAAGGACAAGGTCATTTACAGCAAGTACACAGATCTCGTGCCAAAAGAGGTCATGAATGTGGATGATCCTGAACTGCAGAGACCAGATGAGAACGCAGTTAGAGAGATAACAAAGAAGACAAGAGCAGCCTTGGAGAAATTAGTGTCCCAAAAAGTTGCAGCAGCCATGCCAGTTGGAGCTGCTGAGAAGGCAGCTCCTGCACAGTACATTCGGTACACACCAGGTCAGCAAGGAGCTGCGTTCAACTCTGGAGCGAGGCAGAGAGTTATTCGGGTGGTGGAAATGCAGAAGGACCCTCTGGAGCCTGCAAGATTCAAAATTAACAAGAAGATTCCACGGGGGCCACCATCTCCTCCAGCACCTGTAATGCACTCTCCAAGTCGAAAGATAACTGTGAAAGAGCAGCAAGAGTGGAAAATTCCTCCGTGCATTTCAAACTGGAAAAATGTGAAGGGTTACACCGTTCCCTTGGAGAAGCGTCTGGCCGCAGATGGCAGAGGATTGCAGACTGTTCATATTAATGAAAACTTTGCCAAACTTGCTGAGGCGCTCTATATTGCTGACAGAAAGGCTCGCGAGGCAGTGGAGATGCGTGCCCAGGTGGAGAGGAAGATGGCTCAGAAAGAAAAGGAGAAGCACGAGCAAAAGCTACGAGAAATGGCTCAGAAAGCCAGGGAGAGAAGAGCAGGGATCAAAACCTGTGTTGAAAAAGAGGATGGAGAAGCTAGAGCGAGAGATGAAATCAGACATGACCGGCGCAAAGAGAGACAGCACGACAGGAACCTTTCCCGGGCAGCTCCTGATAAGAGGTCAAAGCTGCAAAGAAATGAGAACAGAGATATCAGTGAGGTTATTGCCCTGGGGGTACCCACCCGCAGGCCATGCAATGAAATCCAGTATGACCAGAGGCTCTTCAACCAGAGCAAGGGGATGGACAGTGGCTTTGCTGGAGGAGAGGATGAAATGTATAATGTTTATGACCAGCCATGGAGAACTGGCAAGGATATGGCCCAAAACATCTACAGGCCAAGTAAGAATATGGATAAAGACATGTATGGAGATGATCTAGAGGCTCAAATAAAGACCAAGAGGTTTGTTCCTGACAAAGAGTTTTCTGACTTGGATCGTAACAGCAGAGGCAGGAGCAGAGATGGACCGGTTCAATTTGAGGAGGATCCATTTGGTTTGGACAAGTTTCTGGAAGAAGCTAAGAAACATGGTGGTTCCAAACGGCCATCAGACAGCAGCTGCCCTAAGGGACAAGAGCATCAGAGCAAAAAGACAAGGAAGGACTGAATCTGCTCCTTGAGAGGCAGGGAAATGGACTGCAAACTTGGATGGCGTTCTAGCACAGCAGTTCCCAGCTCCAGTGTGCATCCACTACTTCTTCAACATAGGACAGCTACCCAAGGAGAGAGAAGACATGGAGACCACTTGGAAATGTTACATAAGGGAACTGATTATTCTCTAGCAAGTTCTCTGACATTGTTGATTCCCCATTGCCCAGCATCTAAAGTTGAGAATGCAGCACCCTTCCTACAGCTTTAGTTTTTGGTAGGTAGCTAAAGCTTGATCTGTTTACAGCTTTTCTGCTGTGTACAATAATTGTCTTATGCTGTAACACATGCTGGGGTGTTCATGATTTAGTGTTTTAGTGTGGCTATACAGTTTATTTGAACAAGGGAGGGCAAACAGCTGGATTCTCTTCTAAAACAAGCACTCCTTCATAGTTTCTCAGTAATCCTTGTTTTAGTTTCTTTAGATTTAGTGAAATAAAGCCTCCTTCTGTGGTAGCTGCTCCCTGGTCAGAGAGAGAGAGGCTAGATGAGTTTTCCCAGAATTGGCCTGGGAAGCTTTAGGGAGCTGGAGAGAAAGAATTCTAAACAATTCTTGTCTTGTTGCACCTGATGTTGTGAACAAGTGGAATGTGTTATGGAGATTTGTTTCTAAAGGGTTGTTTGTTAATTAGCCAATGGTGATGGTGTTTTAAATGAAGGACCAGTTAGGTCCACCTGTAACAAAGTAGGGTCTATAAAGTGTGGGTTTCTTAATAAAGATTATTAGTCTTCTCTGAATATCTTGAGAGTCTGTGTCACTTATTACCTGGTCCTGGCTTGCTGCACCAACATCCTTCTACCATTCACAAAAAAAGGAAAAAAAAAAAGAAAAAAAAAGTAACAGCTAGAGCAGGCAAGCTGCACCAGGGCAGGGTGGGGGGAGGTCCACCATGCCAGGGACACCACACCCCTGCAGTCACTACAGTTCCCCAGAGAGCAGAAACCGGGCCCCCCTGCTCCTGTCCGTGCCATCTGGGGGGAATCTCAATTACTGGAGGTAATTTTGCAAGTACATGCACCTTAGTTCCAGCACCAGGCTCCTGGTTGTTTTTTTCTCCACGTGGTTTGACTTTCACTGCCCCCACTGCTGTGTCCACCCCAGGATAGAAGGGAAATGGTCGACATGGGGGCTGCATGCTCCTGAGCATCTGCACGCAGGGACACACACACAGGTGCTGTCCCGGTACCAGAGTGTAAGCTTGAGCTCTGCTAAATGCATTTTCCAAACTGGGGACTGTGGAGGCCTGTGAGCCTACCAGGGAAAGGGCAGTAGCAATGTCCTGGGCACACACACAGGAGGCTATGGGATTCCTCTCAGCTCAGTTTGTGTGTTTGTGTGTGTGTGTGTGTGTGTGTGTGTGTTGGTGCTCTCGTGGCTCCCACACATGGAATCAAGTCACTCTCAGTGAAGGTTGCATCCACCACTCTGTTGTAGTTTGTTTTGTGGGAGAGGCACCCCGGGGAGTCCCCAGAGGGCCCCTAAGCTGCGAGTTCACTGGCAGCAGCAGGCAGGCAAGGAGGCTCCACACGGCTTCTGAGGATGCTGATTAGATCAGGGTTTATTGGGGGTCCCAACCCGGGAGCATGGTGGTTACTGAGGGGGAAAGGGGGAGGGGGAAGGAGGGGGAGAGGGAGAACCTCGGAGATGGGAGGGCCAAGAGGGAAGGAAGGCTAAGAGGGGGGAAAAGGCTAAGAGAGTGACTGGTCTCACACACACAGTTTAAGAGGGAGAATGGAAATGGGCACGGAATCAGACTGGGCCAATGGGATTACAGATACATGATGGTTCAGGGCAGGACCACAGGCTTGCAATACACCACAGATTTTGGAGGGGATTAGACAGAGACAGAGCATACCATTTAAATAAAATGCAATACTGCACCACCCCATGGACTGCAACATGAGACCATCCCCTGAACCACACAACACAGTAACAAAGCCATCAGCATATACTTACTGTAATTTCTCATTTTTCCAACATATTTTGCCTTGTTCAACTCACAGTTTGGCTTTCTTTCCGTGATGTGTATGTTTTCACGTGGTTGCTGCTCCCGTGTGCCATTTCCACGTCACGGTTCTATTCTGTAGCTTGTTTCCCCATGCCTGAACAGATGCAATGCATTTTGCAGTTCTTGGCCATTCACTCACCACGGTTCTTGAGAATGTTGTCCTCACACCTTGCTGAGCCCTTCTCTCCTTGGCAGCTCTTAGGCTGCCTCAGCTCCCGTGACTCTCTTTGGCAAGGAGAGGAGCCGCGTATCCTCTGTGGTGCAGGGCTCCATATGTCCTGTGGATTGAGCACCGTGTTTGTGTTTGCGTTCTCACCAGGTGTGCAATTTCTCCCGGAGCTGTGTTCCCTTCTATGTGTTCCGCATCCGAGCTGCTGCTGGATGGAGCTGTGCCAGTGGAGGTTGAGCAGGTCAGGGTAGATTTCGGGAAGCCGCTTGATGGCCAGGAGCTTCAGCATGCGGGAGGTGCAGCTCTTCAGCTCCAGCTCCCTCAGGTGCTTCTCCTCGGAGAGCGTGGTGGGACGAGGCTGGACGCCACTGAGACGTCACTGAGGGCAGCAGGAAACTTGTCCTAGGTTGCAATGCAAGATGTAACCAAAAGTATGTATTCTATTACCATCTGTTAAAGGCAGGTGGGGGAGGGCTCTTTATCTCTTCTACAACTAATCCTCCCTCCTGCAGGGAGATATCTTCAGTTAATGGGCCATTGAGTGTCCCTGCATGGCTGATAAAATTACATCATCCCATTGTGAGATGCTCCGCCCAGGGGGAGGAGCCAAGCATTCCTATGTGGATATAATCTGAGCCTTCAAACACCACAGCCACCTTTTCCACTGGATTCCCAGAGGAAGAACAGACCCTTCTACATCATCAGTGGACCTCCAGAGGAAAACTCCACCCTTCTACAGGATCACTGTGTGGCAAGGAACACCAGGGAAAGCTGTGTGGATCCAAACACCTTTGTGATTTACAGAAACAGCTGGGAGAAATGGGAGCTTGGGCATCAGTGCCAGAGGACCCTACACTCCAGGTATGGACTCTAGCTTTAACAAGAAGAGGGATCAAACATGATAAACAGGCTTTACTAGCCTTAATCAAGTGGTGTGGGAGGCTTGGACTGGACGTGTCTGAAGGGGCCGCCTTGGACTTAAACACGTGGGATTGGGCTGGCAGATACATACTTGCAGCAGCTGCCACGGCCGATGAAACTGCCATCAATGTCATCGAACCCTGGAGGCTGATCCTGGACCTGATAAAACAGTTAGAGAGCGAGCGAGACACGAGGCAGGTGGAGGGGATGGCACCGGGCGAGCAGGGCAGGAGAACGGGCAGAGCATCCGCCATGTGGAGCCACGGAGCCTCCCCAGGAGGGGGTGACCTGTCCTCAGAGTTCCCTGAGGCTGCCCGGGACTGTGGCATTGTCCCGGGCAGGGATGATATGCCAGCCAATCGTCCCACCATTGCACAGAGCCGTGGAGCCAGCCCACACAGGGACAAGACCCCAGTAGAGCGCACTGTCACTGAACAAAGCGGCGAGGACACTGCGCGCTCCCGAGTCAAGTTAAACAGGCGTCCTGCAGCCCCTCTGGGTGCTGCCTCTTCGCTGTGTCCTGCTGTGCCAGCCCTTGGAGCTACGACAGGCTGCCCTGCCTTTCCTCTGTGCCCTGCCCCTTCAACCAAGAGCACTGAGACCACGACCGGCCGCCGTGAAATGGCAAGCTGCTGTGGAGCCGCCTCTGCCAGCCGCCAGGCAACGCTCGGCCGCCACAGGACCACTGGCTGCTGTGGAGCACACGGCTGCTGCAGAGGGCTGGCTGCCGCCGAGCCTGGCCGTGCCACAAGGACAAATGCTCACTCTGTGACCAAGCCTGGCCATGCTGGCTCTGCCGCTGCGCTGCAGGGGCGCCCGGCTCTCGCAGGGACAGAGCACCTTACAGCTGTTCCAGTTATGCCAGTGCAGCCATTCCAGCAGCGTGTGCCAGAGACACCTACATGCCCTGCTACAACACGTGTGCCAGTACTGCCTCCTCCCAGAGCCCCTAGGTCCAGCTCTGACACCGTGCTTTCTGCCCGGCCTCCACGGGGCAGAGCCAGCTGTCACTGCAACTCAGGGACGGGCCTGGGAAACACATCACCAGAAATTCCTGGAAGAAAGAGGAGATCCGGGAATTCCTCAGCAGTCACTGCTGGGACTGCACTGCCACCGTCGGAGCAGAAGCTTGCTTTGGATTGTATACCAGCAAAGGACATGAGAGAGATCCAGAACCATCATCCCTCAGCAGAGCCACAAAATATCGTCACCAACGCCACATTGCCAACAGCTCTGCCCAATCCTGTGACCGTCAGGCAAAAGGAAAACGATCATCTTAGTCTCCTGGAAATAAATCAAGAAGTGACTCCAGCAGTTCCGTCATCTAAAGTTGCAAAAGTGGAAGGCTGCATTCGGATGTATGAAGAGATGCACAGGCTGAAAGCGAGGGAGAGGCTGAGGCAGCGGCAGGAGGAGCTGGAGCAGATGGTGAGGGCAGCCCATGCCCAGGCCAGTGAGCAGCTGAAGCGCTTTGATGAACTGAGGGAGCTGAAGCGGCATCAGGAATTCCAAGAGTTGCAAGAAGTAATGGAGAAGAGCTCAAAGGAGGCTCAGAGGCAGCAAGAGAAGTTGAAGGAAGAACACCGACATAGAGCAAAGATATCGGACCTAAAACTGCACGAGGCAGAGCAGCAGAGGCAACGCTTCCAGGAAGAGCTGGAACTTCTGCACAAGAAAGAGGGCCAGGAGAGACTGCGTCGCCTTTATTCCATCCAGGAGGAACTGCTGCAGCTGAAGCAGCAGATTGATCCCAACCACGGGCACAAAGACTTGCCCGGAATCGACCTGTCTGCGTACAGCAGTCGTGGCAGCCAGATCTGTGGGCTGGTGTCAGAGCTCATCCGCAGCGCCAGCGAGAGAGGGCTCCCGGCTCAAGAAGATGTGGCCAGCTCTGAACGAGCCCTGCAGGAGATGCAAGGACTGATATCCAGCATGCAGCAGGAAATCACTGCAGCTCTAGAAGCAAAAAAGAGGCAAGATGAAGAGGAAAAGAAACAAAAGCAGAAAGAGCTGGAGGAAAGAGAGCAGATGAAGAGGCAGACTTCTGTCCCTGCACAGCAGTGCTGGGGAAAGCAGCGGAAGGAAGGACTTCAAGTAGAAACAGAAGAAAGTATCATGCAGTGGTACCAGCAGCTTCAGGATGCTGCTGAGCAATGTCTTGCTGCTTTCAGTGAAATTGGCAACTGCAAAGGCAACGCTGAGGTGAAGAAGATAAAAACAAACTTGCAGAAAGCTGCTACAATCCCTGTCAGCCAGATCTCCTGCATATCAGGCTGGAAGCTGAGAGAGGTGTTTAATAAGATCCATAACCTGCTCTCTGGGAAGCCTGTTCAGACTGAAGGCCAAACGGTGTTGGTGACTCAGCATCCACAGGGACTGGAGTTTGTTTGTTACAAACTGGCAGAGAAGTTTGTGAGACATGGGGAAGGAGAAGTATCTTTTCACCACGATTCAGCTTTCCCAATTGCTGTGGTGCTCTCAGGAATCTGGGAATTACACCCTCGAGTTGGAGACCTCTTTTTAGCTCATCTGCACAAAAAGTGCCCATATTCTGTGCCATTTTACCCCGCTCGCAAAGAAGGGACTTCCATGGAAGAGTATCACAGGATGCTTGGATATGAAGTCCATGATTCTGAAGTGGAAGAACAAGATCATTTTCTTAAGAGGATGTCAGGAATGATTCGTCTCTATGCTGCCCTCATCTCATTTGTTCTGATGTTCTGCCCGCCCCTCACTATCCCTATAGAAACCCCTGCTCTTGCTCTCTGGGAGAGTTCTTTGTCCCTGCATGCCTTGGAGGTAGGAGCTCAATAAAGACCCTCTGTGAACCCCATATGAAGACTCTGTCTTTTCCTCTGCGTTGCTCATGGCTAAAATCACACCAGAGCTGAAATCACTCAGTGAGAGCAAGATGTGCCTGTGCACCCAGGATCTCTTTTTAAAGATGCTTCTCTGGGAAGGTCACTGCACTCTACCAATTCTGCCTGCTGTGACATTTAATCACGTACAAGATGCTTTAAATGCATTGTCCTGATGGCTCCAGGGATTAAGGACTCTTGGACAGAAAAATTGCACAGTGCAATGGAAGCTCCATTGTGCAGTTCATCTCATGGAAGTGAAAATAGGTGGGAAGGAGATGCTGAGAAGCTCTCCCTGACCCTGTGGCAGCACCTGCCAGCTGCTCCCTGAGCAGAATGCAGACTCGGGTGTGTAAGGGAATCATTTTGTGTCTTAAATAAACTGTTTGTAGAGCATGAAACCCAGTTGTGAAGGATGTGTGTCTGCTGTGGGCGTGGTGCTGACCCAACCTCCCTGCTGGGCTCCCGGTGCCAGCCCAGCCCTGTGCTGCTGCTGTGCCTGGTGCTGCCAGCTGGGCTGCTCCTCTCCAGCTCTGGGACAACAGCCCTAGTGCTGGGGAGTTAAAACAGCAAGGTGTGCATGCCAGCCCCACAGTCACTTTCCCAGCTCCCGGGTGCTTCCCCTTCCTGCAGGCTGGATTTTATTTCAGATCCTGCTCTGCAGTGTTTGTTCCAGCCCTGACCCTGCCCCTCAGGCTCCATCTCAGCCCCAGCCCCGCAGTGCTGACTGCAGCCACTGCTGTGGATGCTCAGAGCCCCAGAGCCTTTATTTCAGATCTTTTTGTGCTGCTTTGCCTCTGGCTCTGCAGGCCCTATTCCAGCCCCAGTGCCCAGAGCTTTATTTTGCCTTTCCCCAACCACTATTTTTACTTCCCCTCCAGGCCCGGTGTCTCTATTTCAGGTAAGCCGAGGGCTTTTATTTTAGCTCCACAAGCAGAATTTCAGCCCCAGATAAGCATCATGTCCCCACAATCTTTATAAACACACCTCAATGCGATCCCAGCTCTGTAGTGCTTCCAGCTCCACTCTCAAAAATGTATTTCGCTGACAGCTCTGCCTCTTCCCCCTGCAGCCAGGTGCAGCTGCTCATGCACCAGAACAGGATCTTTATTGCAGGTCGAGCTCTGTGAGGCTTCAGCCCGAGTTCCGAACGCCGCATTCCCGCTCCATTCCGGCGCCAGCGGGGTCCGAACGCGAGCGCGGGGCTGAGGCGGCGCCGCTCCCCTCAGCCGGCCTGAGGGGCGGGGCTGGGCGGGACTGCGCCTGCGCGGGAGCGCTGGGCGGGCCCGCGCCGGGCGGAAGGGCGGCTCTGATTGGACAGGGCGGGGGCTGGGGGCGGGGCGCTGTGGGGCTGCGGCCGTGAGGGCGCCGGGCAGCCCGAGGGCTCAGGGTGCCGCTCCGAGAGCCCGGTCCCCTCCGCCGGCCCCCTCTCCCGGCTGAAAGGCACCGCGGAGCCCCTACCGGAGCGCCCCGGCGGGGAGAGCGCAGCGGGCAGCGGCGCGGGAGTGGTTCCGGGTCGCCGTAGCAGCGGGGAGCGGCGGCGCCATGGTGGGGAGCGGGTCGGGAGCGGGGCGCGGGGAGGGCGCGGGGCCCGCTGCGGGCTCTGACCGCCTCTCCCCCCGCAGCGCTTCCGCTTCTGCGGCGACTTGGACTGCCCCGACTGGGTGCTGGCCGAGATCAGCACGCTGGCCAAAATAGTTAAGTGCCCGCGGCCGCGGCCCCTGCCCGCGCCCCGCCGCGCGGGCCCGCTGCTCACCCTCCTTGTCCCCGCAGTCCTCGGTGAAGCTGAAGCTGATCTGCGCCCAGGTGCTGCGGGACCTGCTGGGGGAGCCCATCGAGGTAAGCCTGGGGTATCGCAGTGGGGGCGAAGTGTTTCAACGCTACAATGGCATAATCAGCAACGTGAATTAATCTCGCGTTCTGCATGCGAGCCTCAGCGTTAAGAACGCTACCGGCCTCTAGTAGTACTGATATGCATAGTAAGAGTTATTAGTATTAATGTTTAGGTTAGAATTTTAGTGTTAACAGTGGTAGTGAGTGTGTTAGCTGGTGCTGTGCTTAGGTAAGAATTGTTAGTGTTAACAGTGGTAGTGAGTGTGTTAGCTGGTGCTTACCGTGATGCTCTGCTCCCCCACAGTATGACAAGATCCTGAAGCTGACCTCAGGTGCAAAGTTAGGTGAGCACTGCTGTCCTTACCAGGATCCCCCGAGGAGCCATGCTCCAGGGGTGGGCAGCAATGTGTCTGGGGATGCCTTGCCAAGGTGACAGAGCTTGCCCTCCCTCCTGTCTGCAGAGTCAGGGGATGTGAAGGCGACCATCGCTGTGCTCAGCTTCATCCTCTCCAGTGCAGCCAAGCACAATGTAGACAGCGAGTCTCTGTCAAGCGAGCTGCAGCAGCTGGGACTGCCCAAAGGTAGGGGAGACTCGGGGTGGCACGGTGAGCCAGACGGGGTGGGATGCTGCTGACAGTTCCCACGGCGACGGAGGGCAGGCTGGCTGCTGTGCTGTCCCCCAGCGCCTCCCTTCTGTCGGTGCTGTGGCGGGGTTTGGCAGCTGCAGGTTGGTGTGGCAGAGGGGTTCCTCTCTTGTGTCCCCAGAGCATGCCAGTGGGTTGTGCCGTTCCTATGAGGAGAAGCAGAGCCCCCTCCAGGACAGGCTGAGGGCCTGCAGCCTGCGATGTGAGTGGGGTGCTGGGGCTCCCCGGGGTGTGGGGTCACCCTGCAGGAGAGAGCCGGGGCGCTGACACCATCCCCTGCCCTCCCTAGTGAGCCAGCTGGGCTCGGTGCGCTGGCGGGTGGATTACACCCTCAGCTCCAGCGAGCTGCGGGAGGTCAATGAGCCCGTGGTGCACCTCACCTTCAACGTGCGCGACAGAGAGAGTGAGGAGATGACGGCTGTCCCTGTGACACTCTCGGCCAACAAGTTCTGGGTGCTGCTGGCAGGTGAGGCACCAGGAGGGGTGGCAGCGGGGATTCTGCAGGGGGAATTGCTGCGGGAGGCACGCTGGGAAGGGGATGCTGGAAGGGATGCTGCAGTACCAGCAGCTCCCCCTCATCTCCACATCTCCGCAGAGCTGAAGCAGGCCCAGGCCATGATGAACACCCTTCTCTGAGGAGCCAGGAAAGGAGCCCGAACACGGCGGGAGGCTGCGACACTGAGCTGCGGGTCCAGATTGGTGCTCCTGCCTGGGGAGGAGAACGTTTTCCTTCCCTCCGGGCTCCCGGGAGTCCTCGGGGCAGCTCCAATAAAGTCTCGGTGACAAAGCTGAGCCGCGTCCCGCTGTGTCCGCGCCTTGTGCGGCCTCTCCCCGCGGCGGGGCTGGCAGGGCACCAACCTCCGGCTTCGCCGCGCGGCCAATGGGAGCGCGCCCCGCCCGCGCCGCAGCCAATGGGAGCGCTCGCCGCGCCCCGCGCAGCCAATGGGGGCGGGCCGTGCCGCAGGCGGCGGCGGCGGGCTCGGGCTGCGCCGTGCGGCCGCCACCATGCCCGAGTGCCCGGAGCTGCACCTGGCCGGGCGCTTCATCAACGGGGCCTGCGGAGCGCTGGTGTTCGCGGGCGGCGTGGAGCGCTCGGCCGTGGGCCGCGGCCCCGAGGTGCCCTTCCGCAGCGAGGCCTACGGCATCTCGGCCGTCGCCCGCGGCAAGGAGCTGCGGCTGACGCTGAGCGCGCTGGACCGCGCCGCCGGCCCCCCCGCGCAGGACCTGGTGTTCCGCTTCGGCATGTCGGGGTCGTTCCGGCTGTGCCCCGCCGCCGAGCTGCCCCGCCATGCCCACCTCCGCTTCCTGACCCGCGAGAGCCCCCCCCGCGCCCTCTGCTTCGTGGACCCCCGGCGCTTCGGGTCCTGGCGCCTGGGGGACGCCTGGCAGCCGGAACGCGGGCCCTGCGTCGTCTCCGAGTACCAGGCCTTCAGGTGAGCGTCCTCAGGAATGGCCCTGCTCGCTTTTGGCCGCTTTTCCTGCACGGACATGTCCAGGTGACTCTTCTTGATGGCCCTTGCAGGGAGAATGTGCTGAAGAACCTGGATGACAGGGCTTTTGACAAGCCCATCTGTGAGGTCCTCTTAAACCAGAAGTATTTCAATGGAATTGGGAATTACCTGCGTGCTGAGATCCTGTACAGGTAAGGTGGGTCGAGCACCCACTGACCTGCCACGGAGGTTTGGGCTCTCAGTTTGCTGGAGTTTGACAGCTCCTTGGCTAAGCCGGCCATGCCTCCTCACCTGGCAGACGCTGGAAGTGCCAGAAGCCAGGCTGCTGTGTAACTCTCTCAGGTTGAAGATCCCTCCCTTTGAAAAAGCTCGGACCGTGCTGGAGGCCCTGAAGGAGCAGGAGCAGGAGAGGAGGAAGAAGGTGGGGAGTACCAGGTGCTTTCACAGCAGCAGGTTTCCAGACAGTGCCAGAAGCAGGGGCTTGGTTGCCTGTGGCCCTTTGTGATGAGCTCTGCCAGTCTCCTGCCCTAAGGAAGTCTGCAAGTGTTTTAGGGGTGGGTGAGGAGGAAGAGGTGAGGGAAACAAACACCTTGCAAGCTTAAAATCTCCAGGGGGAGGCTGCAGTAAAGCCCAAGGCTGATCCTGTGGCCTCAGGGGAGAGGAAGTGGCTATTTTAAGCCTGAAAACAAACTACACGACCTGCTGCTGGTGTTTTTGTGTGTCAGCCCTCTTTCATGGCTTTGTAGCTAAGTTGGAAGCCTACTGTGTGGTGAGCTCAGGGCTATCATGTGTGGAGAGTGTGGCATCCTCTGGAGGGCAAGAGATGGGGAAGAGGATGGGAGGAGAGAGGCCGAGGAAGCAGAGGTGGCTGGCAGGTGACCTCTCTGCCCTTCTCCATGCCTGCAGGATCCTTCCCTGACGCTGAGCAAGAAGGTGAAGCTGAGGCAGGAGAACCCAGATCTCCTGGAGCTGTGCCACAGCGTGCCCATGGAGGTCATCATGGCAGGTGAGGGGACAAGACAGGTGATGGGGAATGGGGCTGGCAGGGGGGACAGGGCTTTGCACTCTCAGCATCAGGAGGTTTGGGGGGCCACCCTGACACGGTGATCACGGCTCCTGCTCTGATTCTGTCCTTTCCCTGTCTCCCCTCCCAGAGAAGCAGCTGCTTGACCCCGAGCACCCAGATTATTATGCCACCTTTAAGAACTGGCTGCAGTGTTACTTGGTGCCTGGCATGAGCTCCCTGCGTGACCGCAATGGCAGGACCATATGGTTCCAGGTAGGAGCCTGGGGCTGGGGAGCCCCCAGACCACTCCTCCAAGGGGACACTGGCCTGTTTTCTGCTTGCTGAGACTCCCATTACACTCTGTGGCTGGGGGTCTCCCTCTCCATCAAGCTCCTGGGCATGGAGGTGACAAGGACCTCCTTTGTGGTGGGCAGCCAGCTAATGGATGGCAAACAGTCTGGAGGGAAGGGGCATGTTTGGGTGGTCTGGCAGCCCTGTTCTTCCCTCCTGGGCCCTGTGTCTGGGGCCTTGCAGGTACAGGGAATGATGGCAGAGTTCCCAGGGCAAAGGGCAGGCAGAGCAAGCCCAGCTCCCCTGCCTTCCCAGGGAAACGTGGCTGATTCCCTATCACTGCAGTGGCTGGAGGATGGAGAAGGGGCAGGGATTCTGCTGCTGCTGCCTGCAGAATGACTGCACCCCAGTCAATGCTCTGTCCCTTCCTTTCAGGGAGAGCCTGGCCCCATGGCTCCCAAAGGTGAGTTTCCTCTCCCCTTCCTGTGGGACCCACTCTTGCTCCAGGAGGGCTGGAGCCTGGGAAACTCTGTTCTTGCTGTGCAGCACAAGGGCATAGGAGCAAAGCCATTCTCTGGGGTGCTGACAGGCCTGTGACAGTTGGCACTAAGGGACAGAAGCCATTTGTCCCCAAGGCATCCAAACCTGCCTGGGTTTTTCATCACTCAGAACAGCATCCCTGCAAGGTCACCGTGGGCTGTCCCTGGGGGTGCAGGCTCTGCCTCATGCTCTCCTCACCCCACATCCTCTCATGCAGGGCAGAGACCCCGCAAGACGCCCCGCAAGAAGAGCCCTCAGCTGAAGGCAGAGCCCGAGGCAGCGAGCCCCGAGGTGAGCAGCTCTGTGCCTGTCTCTGGCTGTCCTGCTGCCCGTGCCCTGCTTGGGCTGCTCACGAGTTCATGGTGATGATCCTGCATGGAATCTGTGTGCCCTGGTGG